TTCAGTCTGCTCTTTATATAAGCCATGAAACCCTTTTKAATCAAACATATGATGATTTCTGGATGGGCACAACTGATGGCCTTTTGAAGTCTATTTGATTCAAGATGCTAACTAATCATAAAACAGCATATCGGCTAAAACTCAATCAGTTAACTTGCTTASTTTTAGTAGTTGAGAGTCATCTGCAATAAATAATCAAATAAAGCAAGAGATTTCTCCTATTTTCAAGGTTTCACACAAATAATTTTGTCATTTCTCATTATAAATGATCTTAGTTTATAACTCCGGCATGAAAGACAGGCAGTGTGCAATCTTTTGGAGAATGTTAGCTATTTTTATTTGCTGTTTAGTTTTTCATGGATTTCTTTTAAATAAAAAAACACACTTTTTTGCAGAAGAATTTCTTTTAGTGAAATATGTCGTTATATTGTGATATTTGAAGAATGCTTCACTTCGCCTTGTCCAAACACAGCCTTTGACGGCTTTGCAACAATGCAAACTCGACACTTGCACTCACTCACACACACACACACACACGCACACACACACACACACACACGCACACACACACACACACACACACGCACACACACACACACACACACGCAGGTGTGTTGTGGAGTTGTGTGAGCTGTTGAGCGATGGCCTGTTTGGAGTTGGGGTAGGGTGGAGGGAGGTGGAGGGAGGTGGAGGGAGGTGGAGGGAGGTGGAAGCGGAGAAGGGAGGCAGAGGTGTGGAGGTGAAGACAAGCCAGACGCTCCGAAACAGACTGTCTTTGTGCCTGAGGCCAGTGTGTGTGTGTGTGTGTGTGTGTGTGTGTGTGGCTGAACAGCTTGTATAGGAGGGGGGGTCTGTTAGCTTCCTCCAGTCTCAGCTGTGAGGGAACTGATTAGATAAAACCAATGAAATATAGAATTAATCCTCATGAACAGAGTCGTACATTATCTAGGTGTCTGATTAGAATGAAATATAAAATTAGTCTTAATTAATAGCAGCGAACGTGTACGTGTAATTGAATAAGCCATTCTGTGTTGAACGTGTTCACCTGTGCTTCATCCTGCAGAGAGGTGCACTGCGAGCTGACAGGCTGGTCGGAGAAGCTGTCAAACTGTCAGAACACAGCTTGTTTAAAACCTGTCCCAATATTTGGTATCCAGGATGTACAGCTGGGTGGCAAATTAAAGTTAAACAGCATTAAGTGGCTCTGCAGGGTGCAGGGGCAGACCGCTACAGGCCTCCAACTGCTTTTCGCTCCTTCTCAGGGTGAGAGATTCTGCCACAAAACATTATATGCTGCCTTTATTCTTTTGGAAGAACAGTTCCTTCTTTTGTGTTATGATGAGCTTGAAGAATTAATAATGAAAGAATCCACAAGTTCTCRAATGGTTTACCATTTATGTTTTCATTTTATTTTCACTGAAGGAAAAAAAAACAGTCTTGTTGAAAATAAAGAAATAAAACCTAAAATACTGGGGAAATTTGTGACGCATCAAACAAAACGCAATAACAATTTGCACGAACATAACTTATCAGATGCACAACAATAAAGACTACATTTTTTTTCCCTTTTTAAACTGCATCAAATGTTTCTGGGTTTGTTTTAATATGAACAGCAAGTCAGTTCAGGACACGAACCATCACTAAAGAGCCATTCAGTTTTATTACGCTGTAATATCTCACTCAGTGTGAGATGCTTTATTTCTTCTTTGAGACAAAGAAAAATAAACATCTGTTTTGTAAAAAATCATTAGAAAATTTTCGAGGGCCACAAAAGGTTGTAAAAGTAAGCTGKACAAATAAGAAACAGCTGGAGGAGCATTTTGCAACCAATTAAGTTAATTGGCACCAWGTCAGTAAAGAGGACTGGGTATAAAAAAGAGGCTTTTAGAAAGGCTGAATCCATGAAAAATAAAGATGGGAAGAAGATCACCAGTCTGTGAAAAATACATCTAAAATAGCAGAACATTTTCAGAATAATGGTCTTCATTACAACATTGAGAAGAGTGAATTTCTCATCGTATAACAAACTTTGTCTGGCCCAGTTCCAGCCCAGTGCACAAACACTTGGCTCACATAAGTGCAAAGAATGGCAGACCTTTGGTGGCCCAGATGTGGATTGTCAGAGGTGGTCCGTGCATGGGTCAAAACCATATAAACCAAACCACAACCAGACCAGTTGTGGTATTGACAGATGTGGGCCAYATAAACCAGACTACAACTAGCCCAGTTGTTAAAAACAATGTTATCACTGCCAGCCCTGGCTCACATTTAGCTGCCATTCCAGCTGTCTGCCAGTTAGACACCAGATCTGGCCCACACCTGTAAAATCATCRAAACATTTCAAGATTCAGGAGAGATTTCTTTGCACAAACTGCAAAGGTGAAACGCATGTGATCCCATCCACATGTCTTCTTCAGAGAAAGTCTTGCATGTTTCAGCAAAACTGCTGAAAACCTTCTTACATCCAGAGGTCTATAAAGAAAAAAAAACTAAGTAAAAGTAAAATTACATGAACAGAAAATGACTGGTAAAAATAAATTTCACTGATGAGAAAACTACTCAATTAAAAGTCATAAAACTGTTCACAAAAATTCRGAAAGTAAAAGTAAAAGTACTTTTACACACACTCTCTATGAAAATAAACTGTTGAATTTACTGAACCAAACTGGTTCCACTAAGCCAGGTTTAGTAAATTGAGCAGCATAAAGATATTCTTTGCTCAGTTTACTCGACTAGGCTTAGTGGAGCCAGCTGACATGACTTTGTTGAGTAAATTCAGCACTTCATTTTTTAGAGTGCCGAAACATCTTCTTTTTCATGATAAGTCCAAACATATTTAATTTTGTAACAAGTAACTAGGTGTTACATTTTAAAGTAAAGAAGTAAAAGTATCATTTTTAGCTTTAAAATGTAACTAAATAAAAGTAAAAGTAGCTACTTAAAAAAGTGGTAAAATTACAAATCCTCAAAAAAAAAAAAACCCTACTTAAATAACTAAGTAAATGTAACTAGTTACTACCTCTGCTTACATCATCTATTACAGCATGGCTTCATAGACGAGTCCAGGTGCTGAACTGACCTGCCTGAAGTCCTGTCCTCTCACCGATTCAAAACAATTGATGCATCATGAAACAAACAAACAAACCCAGCAGATGAAYTGAATCCTACTTGGGACAACATTTCGCTCCAAAACACAAAAATTTTCAATGACCTCTTTTTTTAATTGAATATTTTCTCACTTTAAACATTTGATGTGTTAAATGTGTTCCACTGTGAATATTTTACAGTGTTCTGTTTGTATTTACATTTTACACAATGTCCCAACTTTTTTTCCTAAAATGGTTGTGTAACATCACAAYGTGATTTCCTCACTTGTGGACACCAGATGCAGACGTTTCCACTGCTGAGACCAGAGACTTCTGGCACAAACAGGAAGCTAACATAATCTAATAGGAGAGCCTGTTTGCGTTGCACGCATCATCTCAAACTTACTGTGAAATCTTTATGAGCCAACACGCAGTGACTCTGTGTTTTTATTTTACCACAACGTTCAAGAAAATACAAGTGCCCACAGACCAAACTTGCCACTGGTGAATACTGAAAATTATGCATTAGAGTGAAACTGGAGGATTTTTATTCTTTTAAAAGCACAGAAACTATCAGGAGGACTGGTTTACACTGCTCAGACAAACAAATGCACATTCTCACACATAAACTGATCCAGGTTGTTTCAAATGACGAACATTCAAAGTACACACAGAAACACACAACAGACACACACACAATAAAAAATGTAAATTATTATCTAAAACTGTAGATGCTTTGGTGCTCGCTTTGAAACCTGACCTAGTTTATAACCTTTGAGTTATTCTGACTCAGGTTCAAACCTTTGCAATCATAAAAAAAGGTGTGAAGTTATTCATTCATGAAATACAGTTGTAGGCGGAGGGAACAAAAGCAAAGGTCCAAGTTGTTTTGCACGTGTTCAGTGTCTGTCATTATCTCAGAGTGGTGTTTRCACGGTCCGCTCACCTTTTCGGCTCCTCTGATCATCTGGCTGTAAAAATTTATGATACTTTCTGCATTAACTGTTTGAGCTCGGTGCTCATTTCTTCACCTCATGACTTTTCAAATGATTTTAAATTAAATCCAGATATGTCCAGTTCAGGAAACAAA